GTGCTTACCAAGGTACTCCTCCAGCCCTGAGCCAAAATATCGGGAACTACCATTCCCCATGCTTTACCAAATACGCAAACTAAGACATTCTGTAGATATAGATTATTGGAGGTCTCTGTTGTCTAGGCTAAAAAACAAATGTCAGAGTTCTGGACTGTCAAGATGTTCTATCAACTTTTTCTAGGAAAGAAGTGAGGAAAAGTGCTTATTTTTATTAAACTAAAACATGACTGTAGAAAGCTCAAAGAGTACTTAATATATGAATAAGCAATGACATCCTTTCACTATTCATGTTGAAGTCCTTGTTTTGAACAAGACACACCTTGCAATATTCTTGTCTTAGCTGAAACTGTTCTGCTATGATCCTCTAAAAGAAAACAATTATGTTGGCTGTGTCATTTTATAGCAGTTTTAGAAGGAGCTATGCCAAATATCTACACATCAAGGAATCACAGGATGCGGAGTGTTATTTCTGAAGAGGATTTAGGAGGGAGAAATACACGTTGACTTCATGTGTATCGATAGAAGAATTGACCCTCCCCCCGTTTGAACATGATTTTGGAGAAAAACATGATTCATTATTCAGTTAGTGCATTCATTCTAGAAGGAACTCAGATTTCTTTACAATAGTATTAGCTTTGAAAGTTGAGAAGTCTCAGCAACTGCCTTCCACCAATTTACAATGTACAAAATCTGATAAAGGAGCGAATGATTTTTTTTTTGTCCCCTTTGCAAACAAAGCATTAAACAAGAATTCATGAGACGAATAGGCATATTCTTATGTACACATCATATGCATGGGAATGATTGAAACCTAAATGCAATGTGGAAAATATACCCTCTCAGCTTTCAGAGTAGCAGCCGTGTTAGTCTGTATCCGCAAAAAGAACAGGAGTACTTGTGGCACCTTAGAGACTAACAAATTTATAAGAGCATAAGCTTTCGTGGACTACAGCCCACTTCTTCGGATGCATACAGCTTTGATTCTTACAGTGTAAACTGCAAATCAAGTCTCACAGATCAGACTTTCCATCCTATTCAGATTCTGCCACTCTTACTCATACCGATTAACACCTGGCTCTACAAGTAGTCTGACTTTCTAAAGATGTATTCACGTAGCATTGAAAAGGATGCTACAAATGACCACCTAAATCCTGCCTCTTGTCTCTGAACCAAACTAGTGTTTTATAAGAATGGTTGGTTTTATTACTTCCAGGCAAAATTTAAAAAGATTCTAAAGAAACACCTGCATGACACCAAACACTCTGGTTTCTAATCTGCCCTAACAGGTTATGATTAAAGCTGTAGCAGGTTATTTATCACAGATCCCAGTTATCGTAGAAACGTCCCTAGAGGCTGCAATGAGCTGGACTCCTAAAGCAATTCCGCATACAATGCATTACCACTGTGACTATTTGCTTCTAGTTCATTAAGGGTAACTGCTTCTCGTCTAAGCTACACCCTTTGCCCAAATGGAGGAATGGTCTTGTGGCCAAAGCACAATGGGGAGAAAGGTCTGGATTGTATTCTGAACTCTGTCACAACTGTCGTGTGTGCTGTAGTCACAAACCCTCTGTCTCAGTTTCCCCACCTATAAAATGGGAATAACAATATATATTTCCCTGCCTTATGAGATAGTGGGAGACTTAATTCACTGATGTTTGTAAAGTGCTCTGAGGCCATGTCTACGCTACAGAGCCACCGCTACAGTGCTGCAGCTATGCCACCATCGCGCTGTACTGTAGACACTTCCTACATCAATGGAAGGGGCTTTTCCATTAAAGCAGTTAATTTAGCTAGATAGGTGAAAGAATCCTTCCATCAACCTAGCCGTGGTCTGTACCAACAGTTTGGACAATCTACTACAGTGCTTGGTGCAACATTTTTCACAGCCTTGAGTGATGTAGCTAGGCTGATCTAATTTTTAGGTGTAGAACAGGCCTGAGATTCCTACATGGCAGGTGGTATAGAAGTGCAAAGTAGCATTATTCCCGATATGCTCTTTGCTGGACAGAGAGGGAAGCAGCCCAAAAAGAAGGGAGTCTAGAAGGCAGGAGTGGATAGTTGAGTATCTGTTGTGGGTGTTATTCCCGATATGCTCCCTGCTGGACAGAGAGGGAAGCAGCCCAAAAAGAAGGGAGTCTAGAAGGCAGGAGTGGATAGTTGGGTATCTGTTGTGGGTGGGTGATGATCATTCTTGTGAAGCCAGCTCCACCCAAAGGCAAGAGCCAAAGGAATGTGTGTGTCACTGAGCTGGGTGTATGTTTTATGAACAACATTCTGAATACAATGGTCTACATTAGCTACAACTTGTGTCTGGACTGTCCTTCATCTGCACACTAGAGGCAAAAAATGTTTTTGGTAAAGGACATATTTCAGTAGCCATTTCAGAAATAGTGCTGATAACATTTTCAATAATAAGAGTCATACTTTTTTTTTAATTTAAAGTAATTTATGAAACATTTTTCTTCCTAAAAAGGCCAATTTTTTTCCTACAAAAAATTAATTGAAAAATTTTGACCAGCTCTAGTCCTCTGAAATCAATGAGGAGACTCGAACAAAGAGAAACTACTCAAGTAAAATTTGTATGATTGGGTCCCATGAGACAAACTCTCAAAAGTTAAAAAGAAAAAGCTTTCTAATTGCTTATACGAAAATATTTGCAGACCAATTTAGGTGTTATAAAAATACTAATCTGAGGTGCATGTTTGAACTTGCACATAAAAACCTGGCTTAATTAAAAAAAAAACACAACTGGGCAAATACTTTAAAATCAAATTATTTAGATATTTAACTTTTACAACTGGATATTGTGTACTGTTACTGGCACTATTTTGAATTCAAGTAATGTTTGTAGTGCTATAAGTCGACATTACACTGTACAATGTAACCTTCAGTCTATGGGGCTCTGATGAGCAAATGCTGTAAGACCCTGGGAGCCCTTAGATAAGATGAGTTCCTGCACCAAACAGCACATAGTCTAGGGTCCCAGGCTAAGTATGTGCCTACTTTACTCACAAAGTAGCCTAACTGAACACAGTGGAGACACACACAAATAAAGTCTACTCCCATGCTTAAGTATTGTCAGGAGCAGAGTCTAAGGGCCCTATTCTGTTTCCATTTAATTCAGCGGGAAAATTCCCAATGACTTCTCTGGAAAGAGACTGAGCATCCCCTGGAAGGTGGTGATTGCTCTCAAATCCTGCTTATATCAGCATTTGCGAGGAAGCCAGTGGCACCTAGTAAATGGAGGCATTGAATGAATAATACCAGAAGGAATGTTACTGTGCACAGAGCCCCTTTTAAAGCAATAGCCTAAGTACACACTTACGTAATAGGCATTCTAGTCTCTTCAGAGAGGAGTTGTTGGTTTTTTAAACTGTCTGAATATGTTTACTGTAGACACAAACCGCTGCCTGTGTAAAGGCCTCAGTACTCTGAATACCTATCGACCTTCTGTGAATGCCTTCATGTGGCTCCAAGGAAATCATTAGTCAGTTCTGCTCTCCTGGTTTCTATAGGAAGTTAAAATTATTTTATGTTGTGAATAATAATGAAAATTCTGAATAATGGCCCCAAACTGTTATACTGAAGGAACATGATATGGCTGCAAGCCTGTTTAGAGGAAAAGCCCTGTACTGCCAAGCCCTCTGAACTGTGGATGTCATTACTACTTCTTGGAAAATTAAGGAAGCCGAATTAACTAAAGGTGTGAATTTGAAATGTATTAGTTAGAACTTAAATTTCAAGCCCTTTTGCCCATGGGCTGTTTCTTATTCTGTGTTTGTACAGCACCTAAAACAACGGGGTCCTGGTCCGGGGCTGAGGCTCCAAAGTGCTACGATAGTACAAATAAATATAATTATAAAGTACATTAAAGCTCTGGGTGGACAGTCTAATTCACATGAATGATGATAAAACGAACCAAGGTCACTTAACTTCTGAATGATCGTGTCCACACAGAGGTTTAATGCACTTTAACTGAGGCACTTTCCATTCACACCTGTAGTAAATACAGCTTAACTGTCCTGAGGCCTGGTCTACACTTAAAAGTTAGGCCAATATAAGTATGGCACTCAGAGGTGTGAAAAATTCACGTCTGAATGCCGTAGTTAAACCAACCTAACCTCGGGTGTTGATGAGTCAACAGAAGAATTCTTCTGTTTATCTGGCTGCCACCACTCGGAGAGAGAGATTGCCTACAGTGATGGAAAAAACCCTTCCCTTGTAGGAAACGTCTACACTATGGTGCTACAGCTGCAGTGCCATAACTGTGCCTCTGTACTAGTGCCCGTAATGTAGACATGGTCTTAGTGTTCCCTTGTAGCCAAGCCCTCTGTTTGTGTTGCAATACCTGAGCACTGGGGACCAATGATGAAGGCTAAGATTTTATCTGTTATTTTTAGTAAAAGTCACGGACAGGTCATGGGCAATAAACAAACATTCACAGAGCCAGTGACCTGTCCGTGACTTTACTAAAAATAACCGGGGGATGAGGGGGTAGGGCTAGGTTTGGGGAGGAATGGTATCTCATGTGGGGAGCAGGGGGACTCACAGGCCAAGCCCTCTGCCATGGCCGGGGAACAGCCCTGGCTCCAGCGGCCACAATGGCGGCACAGCCATGGAGGGCACACAACCAGGAGCAGCGCCAGGGTTTTTGGCACCCTAGGCGGAGGTCCTTCCTCGCTCCCGGTCGTCGTCGTCAATTCTGCGGCGGGGGGGTCCTTCCGCGCTCCCGGTCTTCGGGGCACTTCGGCGGTGGGTCCCGGAGCGAGTGAAGGACCCGCCGCAGAATGGCCGCCGAAGACCCGGAGCGCAGAAGGACCCCTGCCGCCGCCAACTTGCCGCCAAAGGCAGCAAAATGCCTCCCCCCCAAATCCTGGCGCCCTAGGCAACCGCCTAGGTCGCCTAAATGGAAGCGCTGGCCCTGCACACAGCCTCCGCTCTGGAGCTGGCTGCAGCTGCAGCACAGGAGCATGGCCTTGACTGCAGCCGCCAACATGGCCCTGGGAAGCCGTGAGAGGGGTGCATGGCCCCTGCTGCAGCCCCCGCCAAGCCTGGGAGGCCGTCGGGCTGGGGCTGCAGGGTCCTGGTTCCAGCCAGCCCAAAGCCGTAGAAGTCATGGAGGTCCGGTAGAGCCACGGAATCCGTGACTGCCATGACCTCTATGACTAAATCGTAGCCTTACCAATGATAATTTGATAGCATTAACTCTGACTCACGCCTCACTTTGGTCACGTGGTGTGTATCAGTTGATTCCCCTGGAAATGAATCGTTATCTCCTCCAAAATGGGCACTGACAGAACTTGGTATGTGCAGTGCCTACCTGTAATGGTCTTGAACCCTGTATTATGGCTAAGAGCAACTTGGGTTGTTGGAATCTCGATGCACACAGTCACTGATCAATTGCTGAGCAAATCAAGGCCATGGTAACTGATCACTTTGATTTGTGAATAAGAGAAACTGTGAAAGTGGCTCTTGCTGGGGGCCGGGCTAACGTCCCTCCAAGGCCAGTCTAGACATCCCGGCTTGGGCAGCACCTTGTTTTCTTGCCCAATAACAATGCTTTGTTATTAGCATAGCACTGGGCAGGACTCCTGCTAAATGAGGCATTAACTTTCCCACCCCTAGTCTATTCTAAAAGGAAACCACATCATATGCATACCATGGTAGTTGAAATGATTTCAGCAACCCCAGCCTCATGCGGGGAGGGAGGGGCCTTGGGCCAGCCCTATGTGGTGTCCTATTTTCCCTTTGGGAAATATGGTCACCCCACACAAGGGGGTTGTAAGTGCTTGAACAATCCCAGTTTCTAAAGCAATGTAGATAGCGGGGAACAAAAACTATGTGTAGACAAGTCCTAACATGGGGTGAAACTGGACCCTAACTAGGCCTGTCCAGATCTTTCTGATGGTCTAGATCAGTGGTTCTCAATTAGGAGTATGTGTACCCCTGGGGGTACTCAGAGGTCTTCTGGGGGTACATCAACTCATCTAGATAGGTCTAGTTTTACAACAAGCTACATAAAAAGCACTAGTGAAGTCGGTACAAATTAAAATTTCATACAGACAATGACTTATTTATACTGCTCTATAGACTATACACTGAAATGTAAGTACAATATTTATATTCCAACTGATGTATTTTATAATTATATAGTAAAAATGAGAAAGTAAGCACTTTTTCAGTAATAGCACTAACCACGGATATATAGTTTGCTATTTCTCATAATATTGTACTTTAAGATCTGATTAGGAAGTTTCCATGTCAGATATATTGTTCCCCTACTATTCTAAGATGGTGCCTATTCCAGATTAATGCAGTATTTTGTGGTTATGTAGATGGAAATATAACTTTCTATTTCAGATTTTAAAGTTCATGAAGCAGGCGGAAATCAGACTTGTTGTTATGAACACCATGTTTCTTGCTGTTTCAGCAATTATTTTTGTGTAGTAACAGGCATATATTGTGATTCTGATAAATCCCTCACTCCTTTGGTAAAATTCTACCTTGCTCTGTGAACACATATATATATCAACACCAAATGTTGAAAGAAATGTAGAAATTGAGAATGTAGAAATCTTCAGAAATGGCCTAACTGTGCTCTAAGCCTACAAACTATTGAATGATAGAGGATGGAAAGCTGAATTTACATTTCTTGGAGTCAGAACTAAGGCTGTTTTGATTAGGTGTGATGGAAATGCTCTTGATGAAAGAGGTGGTGATTTATAAAGATAGTACAAGATCTTTAACTCCGGATTTCTAGTATTTTTAGTGTTTGTGTTACTTAAGAATTGATTTCCTCTGCCTTAACTTCAGCGTTGCTGATTTTTTCTTCAGCAGCAGTAGCTACAGATTTTTGCTTTTCATGTTCTACATCAATGTTACATATGCGTCCATTATATGATGGGGAAGCTGTTAGCCACGGCCCTAGCTAAAGCTGCCTAAGGAATGTATAGGTGTAAATCCTCATCGGGATCTCCCTAGAGAAGCAGGGCTATGGCCCGAGGGGTGTATTGATGCCTGAGGCAGATCTCTCTCCTGTCTGGAGCCTTTCTGAGATCCCGCTCCTGCTCTGTGGACAGTTAGTGAGAGAGAATAAGAAAACCATCACCCCCTTACAGCCTGGCCTTAAATGCTAGCCTCTTCTTCTCCGCAGCCTCCTACCCCGCAGGCCCCTGCCCTTGACATCAGCGCTGAATGACAACAGGCAAAGAGCTGCCCCAATGGAGGAGCCGGCACACGCCAGCTTTTGTGGCAAGTGCTGGCCGGGTGCGAATCCGGACTGGAGCGGGACTTCGGGCCGCGCCCATCTCGGCTTGAGCAGCCCCAGGGGGCAAGTTCCCGGGCCATGCGCCCTGCTTGGGACGGGGCCCTAAGGCGGCTGCAAGCGGCGGTGATGTCCTGCCACTGAGCTGCCCGGGCTCAGCGGGACCCAACAAAGTGCGTGAGGGGAAAACGCCTCTGCAGCAGCCGCCTTCCCCGCTGGGCCTGGCCTGGAGCCGAGGGGGCGATCGAAGCGGGCCAACGTGACTCACCCCCGCCCAGGCGGGTTTAGACCAAACCCAGCCACGTTCCCCTGGGCGGGATCGCTCCGTCCGCAGCAGCGCCTGGAGAAAAGCCACTAGCCTTCAGCCCCCAGCCAGTGCCCGGGGGCTGCACCTGTAGGGAGCGGGTCCAGAGCCCGCCCCGCTGTTTGTTCCCGGCCCGTTTTCTGGCGCTGGGTCGAGTCCCTGTCAATTGCAATGTTTCCCCTCCCTGCCAGCTCCCCGCGAAGGAAGACGAGCCAGCCAGCCTCGGGTTAATTACCAACGGGGTTGTGTGGTTAGCGAGGGAAACAGCGTTACATTGACCCTCGGGTTAGATCCAGACAAGACAGGTCTAAGCTCAGTTCGCACTGGGCTCTGTCTGTCAGCGCGGGGGGCTGGCCGGGCTCTGTGCTTTCCCGACTGTCCCCATTAGCTACCTTTGCTGGGTTCGGCCCCTTCCCTGATGGGACTTAAAGGTAAGTTTCCTTCCCTAGCTACCATCAAGTGCGGTTAACAGACGGGCTAGGGGTGTAGATGGTCGTTCGAGGCAGGGACTCTGTCGTTTCCCCCGTTAAGAGCCGTTGCATATTCGTTATGTATGAAATAACCTAATACTAAATAACAAGCTGTGACTTACATGGGGAGAGCGACTCGCACCCGAACAATTCTCCCCGGAACCGCGCTGCCGGGAGCAAAACCAAAATGCGCGAGGTTCCTGCGCGCTACAATCATTCCGATGAAACTCTAGTCTTAGCATGAGGGGGTGGGCTTTCTGCTTTGCACGGGATGGATAAAAAAATAAAAACCAAAACAAAATCCACCTGAAAATGGATCTGCCTGGGGGTCCCTTATTGTTATCCACTTGTATTCTTAGGGCTCTTGGCCCGTGCACGACCTGACATCATTCCGCCCGGGAGGCAGTCTGCTACTTTTTGCCTTTCACCCTGCAGAATTTGTAAATAACCCTCAGCCCCATCATCTTCTAAACCTTCCGCGAACCCATCTCTGTAATAGTTGGGCTCTGCGGAGGTGTGTTCTGCTCTTTCGGGAAGATGACAGACTGTCTGTCTCTCCCCCCCTCCCCCTGCTCGGGCTCTGGCTTTCTCAGGCAGGCAGGTAGATGGAAGCAATAATGTGTGAAAGTGAGCTGCTCCCCAGTGGCACTAAAGAGATGAGCTGATCTCTGGCCAATAGCTGGTGCTGGGCTGGGGTGGGGGCTGGGGGGGAGGAGATGGGTCCCCTACCGTGTCCTTTAACACCATCTGCCTTGAATTGCCCACAAGCAGACCCAGCCTCTAGTGCCCTCCCGAAGCAGGCTGCTCCGATGGGTACCACCGCGCAGGACAGAGCCCCGCGGCCCAGCTAGGGCAGCCACTGCTCCCCGGCTAACCAACAAGGGGCGAATTGGGACCATACTGGACCCTTGGACTAGAGAGAGAACCGAGGTGACCCAACTGTGTGAGTAGCATCAATTTTGCAAGCGCATCCCGGGTTTCCTACAGCTGGTCCCCCCGCCCCCCGCCTTTCCCTGCCTGCTGAGGGCTCGGGCGCTCCAGATGTTTGTTGCAGCTGTGGGGTTGTTTAAGGCGCTGCTGTGGATATGCTCAAGTGCGATGGCGCTAGGAAGCCCTAAATCAAAGGGGGAGGTGGAGGGCGGACTCGATCTCTTCTGCCTGGGTGGAGAGCGGATCCATTGCCGGTGACCTCTCCCCCGACCCCGTGTTCTTTAATTCGTGTGTCACGACCCCGGTTTGTTTCCCTTATTGGCCCCATTGATCCTGCCCATTAGGTCAGATTCATCGGCGCTGCCGGGGCTTCATCCTTCAGCCATTGTTAACTTGTTATCTGTCTATTAAAAATAAAGCCCTGGGAGAAGGAGGTTCCCCACTCCCCCTGCCCCCCCCCCACTCCTTCCCCTGCCGGTTCGGCCTCGCTTCTGCCCTGCGGAGAGGGACGGGGTCTGTAGCCCGATTACAAACTAGCTGCTCTGGGCTCTCACGCGGGACATGCCACTAGAGCTGGGGGGGAGAGGGGGTATCTGCTGGGGAAGGGCCGGGGGCTGGAGCCCCCATTGCAGCGCCCAGCTCCCAATCAGGGTGGGAAGCCCGATCCACTTCCCTGAGGGCTGGCGGGCTGTGTATGGAGGAGCCCCAGCCTGGCACGGCTCCTGGTGGCGTTTGCGACCTGAGCGCAGATTCACCTGCCAGCCGGCAGCTCTTCCCCACAGATTCCCCTTTCCCTGCTCCCCAGCCCCCAGCCCCGTTTCGTGTCCTTGATCTGGCTGAACAGCCTCAGGGGGTACGCGGTGGCCGGGGATGGTTGCTCTCGGTGCTGGGGCTGGGCTGTAACCTCGAGGAAATGGGGCTAGTCGCCTTTGACTAGCGACTGTTCAGTGCCCTGGGCGGTGCCACTCCGGAGTCACCCCCAATGCGGAGATCAGGCTCAGGGAGATCGGGGCCATCCCTGAGCAGGACCCCACCTTCTTTCCTCTCTTCTCCTGTCCCTTCTCCTCTGCTCCACCTCCACCTGGCTCACCGCGGCTGTTGGACAGGTAGCTTTAACAGCAGCCCCTCCCCAGCGCTAGCCAGGGCGGCCCATGGGGGAGTTGCCCGGCTGGCTGGCTGGGAGAGGCGCCCAGGCAGGCTCTGAGGGGCAGAGGAAAGCACTTAGATCAGCTGGGCCACACGCCGGGCCGGGCTGCAGGCGCTGGGTATTTCCCTTGCTCCGCAGACGGGGCGGCCTAGCAGCAGCCATGTGCCCCCATGTAGGAAGGAGCCGGAGGCCCCGGTTATAAAGTCGCTTTTTCTTCTCCCCTAGGCAGAGCGCGGCTGCTGCAGCGGGCGGGGCCGCTCCGTGTAACGTGGTGTCTCCCCTTCCCCACAGGTTCCCTCCTCTCACCTGCGGCTCCAGCCATGTCCCTGTTTCTAGCCGGGGATCCTGCCTCCAAAGACCAGACTTACGCGGGAGAGATCCTCCGGACCAGCCCGGGGGACATCGCCGCCTATTACCCGCCTCTCCTGCCCCCCGCCCAGTACCTGGAGGCGCTGGGGCGCCCTCCCGACCTCTTCCACCCCCTCAAATCCCTGGGAAGGCTGCTCGCCACCTCCCCGCCTCTGGCCCCCTTCAGCTTCGCCACGATCCCGGCCTTTCTGACCCGGCCCACGGCCCTGCAGGGCGAGCGGCTCTGCAGCACCCCGTGCCCCTGGCCCTCCTTCTCCGGGCAGGCATCGCCCCGCAGCAGCCGGGCCCCGCCAGCGGGCCCCCCGGAACTGCCCAGCCAGGCTGGCGAGCTCTTTCCCGGCCCTGCCAGGAAGGGCCGAGCGGCGGCCGCGAGCCGGCCCAGCGTCCAGGCCGAGCCCTGCAGCCCATACCGCTTCAGCCAGGAGGATCTGCGCGCCGTGCTGTACGGGGCGGTGCGGGGCGCTCCGCACGCCGCCTCGGGGCTGCGGGGCCCAGCTGCCAGCCCGGGTAAGGCACCCCCCGGGCCCGTGTCAGTTACCTCGGGGGAGCGCGTCCCTATTGGCCCCGTCTCAGTTTGCTGAGTCCAACCCCCGCACGCTGCTCGGCCCTTTGCATGGACCCAAGCTCACGAGCGAGGAATCGCCTCTTGGGAGCCCGGAGCCCATCCCGGCGGCAGGGTCACACCATTCCGCTCAGCCGGACCGGGCTCCCCCCTCACTGCCCGCAGCTGTCCAGTGCAATGTGTGTGTGGTACAAACGGCTCGCTTGGGGGCTAACCAGGGGGTTCCTGTTCTGTTCGCAGGAGATGTCGAGTCTCACGCTCCGCTGCCGGACAGAGAGTCCCTCCAGTTACCCGAAGGTAGGTAGGACCCCAGGGCTCAGGTGCATTAGGACGGGCTCGGCTGAGCTCCTGATTAGATCGTCTGTATTTCTGTTTTCCTCTCGCCCTCCAGGTTTGTCCGTGTTGCAGACGCTGCACGGGGAAGTTCTGCAGCTGGGGGTGTTCTGCACCCACCTCATCCCCAGGGGCGTCCGCTTCGGCCCTTTCCAAGGCAAAGTGGTCAACACCAGCGAGATCAAGATTTACGATGACAATTCCTTGATGTGGGAGGTAGATGGGCTCACCCCTAGGACATCACACTGGCTCGGTCATTGCACCGAAAAAGGCTCTTTGACTCCTTGCTACTCGGGGTGGTGGTTTTGTCCTCAACGCCTGCAGAAACATGGAAAGAAAATAATCAAAGCCTTGATCCAGCCCCCACTATAATCTTTCCATTGACTTGAATGAGGAATCCCAAAGAGCAAGGACATGTTTGATTGCCCACATAGAGGCTTTATACGTGCAGGGATCCATGTAAATTGTGTACAAACGGGTTACACGGGGGAAGGTTTCTAACACCCAAAGTGCTAGGAAACCTGACAGGTTTCTTTCCCCATGTTTTATCCAGATTTTCGAAGATGGTCGCTTGAGCCATTTTATAGATGGGAAAGGAGCCTCGGGAAACTGGATGTCCTTAGTAAACTGTGCCCGGTTCCCAGAGGAGCAGAATTTGACAGCTATTCAGTGCCAAGGCCAAATATTTTATGAAAGCTGCAAAGAAATCTTACCCAACCAGGAGCTGCTGGTGTGGTATGGAGACTGTTATCTGCAGTTCCTGGGCATCCCCATCAGTTTGAAAGGGGCGACAGAAGGAAAGGGACCCCAGCAACAGCCAGAAGGTCAGTCCTGCACAGAACCCTGTGGAAAGGGTTGTTCCCATTTCTCTGTGGACCGGTAGATTCTTTATCAATGCCAGTGATTATTTCGTTGTGATTATAATCACAGAGCTGCTTGTGTTCTGAATGTTTCGTTTCGCTTTTGCTTAGAACAAGACCATTTCAAGTGAGTTGCAGATTCCATTTGTGTAAGAATCTCTATTGCCTATTTCCATCTATTTTACATGAATTTCAATCTCCGGTAAATAAATTAAGCCTTTTCCAACCTTTTCAGGGGTTCTGCTTCCAATTCAGGGCGGAAACTTTCTACACGATTTAGTTTAAATAGAACCATTAGATTAAAGACAATTAAACTTCAAGGAAAAGGACCCATCCTTCCATTCCTTTACTTATTTGTTCAAATCTTAAAATCCTGAGGCAGAAATTCCCCGGAGGTGCTGAGAAGGCTGAATATTTATGACCAGGGTAGCTACCGGCTGGGCGCAAAACTTCTCTGTTTGAAGACATTTGCAACTGACTCAGATCGCAAAACAGGGATACAAAATCAACAGCCAGCTCCCCAGACTTCACGCCATTTACTTCGGGGTAGCAGTCTTAGTTTTAATTTGCTCTCGGAATTTCTATTGTGAACAAAAGATGTAATTTAGCACATAAAATTTAAGTGTTTTACAAATGGTGATTTCTGCCCGCAAAGAACGTGGAAACTAAAGTAACTCATGTTTGGGGACTATGGTCCCGTTCTTGATCTCTTTACAATCAGTGGCAAAATTCCCCCATTGGCTATAATCGGCAAAAGAGGGCCCTGAATCAGATTTATATTTAAACATTCTGGCTCACTTGCCCACACACATTTTCATACCGTTTTGATCGTCAGTTGTAATTTTCACATTCACATTCTTCATAAAGGGGGCAGACGGTTTACACAGTAATCAGATGGTGCCAGGAAAGATGTGGTGTCAGAGAAGACGCTGTCTTGTGGGGAAGACAGGATTCCAAAGCGAATAAATAAAAGACATCAGTTTTAGGTAGCAACTCTGTATTCTATAGAAAACATGTTGCATTCATATATATCTATACATGTGTTAGAATGATACTATATGAATGTATCAGGGAGACAGAATCACTGAAGAATGGTTCAACTGACTGCAGCAAGAACAAAACAAAGTGATTCTGTGGACCTCTGAGTATCTAGTAATTGTCATTCTAAGGTTGTTTAACCCTGACAAAGGATTTCATTTTAAAGCTTGACTATTTTGGATTTGTAACCATGGGAGGAATTGATATCGAAATACTTTTGTCATACGGAGGAAACCAAGGAAATTGTTAGGATCTGTTTAAAATACAGTAGAAACTTTGAGTCTGAAAACAAAAACACACACTTGTGTAGTACATAATTGACATTACTTTTAAAACTTCAAGCAACATATGCAAATTTATTTTTAAGTGGAAAATGAAACACACATTGCCAGTACCAATATTAGTAAGTATATAACCAAACCAATGATTTATCATGGGTAGGGGGGGCTGTTTTATGTTGCAAAAGTCAGGTTTGTTTTGTCAGATATTAATGTGCAGTAGTTGTTTTACGTCTGGGTGTGCATTCAGACAGGGAATGGAGATCTCCGTTTAGAGGTAAGAGACAGAAGGGGTGAAAGCCTGACCTCACTGAAGTCAATGGCAAACGCCCAGTGATTTCAGTGGGGCCAGGATTTAATTCAAGAAATACTTGTCTGCGCCACACTCTTGTAAATATGGTAAAAGGTAAGATCACAAAAAGGAAATTCAGGAAGGTGCTTAGCAGACTTCAATCTAGTTTGTAAACTCCATTGTATTTTTCTAACTATGTTGTAATTCTTGTTTACAATTATTGTAATTCTAAAAAGCTACAATTCTCCTTGGTTAGGTTCCAGCTCTGAAAGACAATGACATTTGAAACTGACAGGCTATTTACCTCCAAGTATTTAAGTGATGGCACTTTCCCTTGTGTTGCACAGAATCTGGGGAGAGTTACAAATGCGAGAGATGTGGCAAGGTATTTGCCTACAAATACTACAGAGACAAACATCTGAAATACACTCGCTGCGTAGATCAAGGAGACAGAAAATTTCCTTGCCATCTTTGCAACCGATCGTTTGAAAAGAGAGACAGACTGAGGATCCATATTCTTCATGTCCATGAGAAACACAGACCTCACAAGGTAAGGATTGCATCTGTTTTGTTTTGTTGTGTTTTGTTCCCTTCTCCAAGTTTTCCTCTGAGACTCTGGGTGATGGTTCCTGTATGAAATCTAGGAGCAAAACCAAGGAATTGTCCTAGACCCCTCAATCTCAAATGACAGTTGTAAATTACAATCCCTCTAGGATGCTTAAATGCTGACATCTAAAGAACATGTACACCTTGAAAGCATATCACATGCTAGTACAATTCATACCACACCATGAAAGTACCTGCAGCTTTCCACGGGGCTCCCATTACAATGTGAACGCATCCAATGCTGGGGTAGTTTGAAATGGACAAGATCTGAAAGCGAAGTCAGTTTACAAGCCAGGAGGTGCATCTGGAGAGGACTAGACAACGAAATAAACGGTGATTTTAGATACCCTGCTAGGTTTCCATGGCATGGATACTTATTGATAAGAATAAAACATTTCACACTGTTAACATATAGAGTCCATGATGGTCAGAGTGGGACAAGCCTGACTTTGAATAGCATCCATCCTGTTATGGGAAAGAGGGTGTGTGTGTGTGAGGAGGTTAGTTGTATTTAATTTACAACCACGTATCCCTTTAAGGGTTACCATGGTTTGTAAACTGTTTTGCCGCTTTTCTCTCTGAATTCCCAGCTCTGTTCCGCTAAAACCTCCCCTCTGGAGCAGAAGGGAGATAAAGTTTGAGCTGGCACCAGCAGCTCTGAATTAAACCAATCTAGCAAGGACAGTTCTGCCGGCTAGCCCGGCAGCGAGGAGGCTGCTGCCCCAGCCGAGAAGTCCTGCTGCTCCGAAAGCCACAGGCACGCAAAGGAAAAGTAGGACGATGTTAACAGGAGTTCAAGGGTTTCTCTATGAGGCTGAGCGTTTTTCTCTTGCTGATTATATTTGTCCCAGTTAGCAAAGTCTGAGGGCTCGAGTTAGCGAGAGTGTCCGCCAGCTCACTTTCGTTCCTACATCATTCTAAACCGTCGTAGTGGTTGTCTGAACTGTTGTCATGGGATATATTATAAGGTTAATGATTTGTCTGTTTGGAGGCTGAGAGCAAGCAGCACGCAGGATTACAGAGATGATCCTACCAGGAAACAGTCCATCCTCCTTATGAATACTAGCACCGATCTGAATCATCACAGACAATTACATTTCCTGACTCAGGGGCTTCCCATGATTTCTGCGTGTTTGTATCCAATGAGACTCTAGTTGTAGCTTTGGGACTCTGCTTTCTCCTCATTTCAGCTAGATACTTTAAATAGAAAGATGGCAGAAGTTTAAATCTAAATATCTAGAATATTCTGTTATGGGAGCAAATCTATGTTGTGATATTTGGCTAGTCTCCACCAAATACCTTTCTGTAGGCATAGGCTTCTCTCAGATGCACTGGCAATGTAAAAACAAGGAATTTTCATAACTGCTCAGTCAGGATAACCTTCCGAATTTTGATGTGACACAACAGAATATGTAATATTTCAACAACCTCTTACTTTCATATGAGCTGAAATATCATCCTGACTATTTTATAGTTCCTCCTGAAATAAAGTGAACTTCCCAGTGAAGGTTGTTATAGCTAGATCAGCAATATTTCAATGTAATAACAGTACAGTAATAGTATCACACTGATTTAGAAATAGGGATTAGAGATTTAGATTAAAATGTGAGTGTATTAAATAAGTTTTGGAATGTTGTGTCATGGTCTTTCTTTCTTTCTTTCTTTCTTTCTTTCTTCTGCATTTTTCTTCTGCATGCAATTCACATTAAATGTCTAAACAGAAAGAAAGACATTTCTGTTTAGACATTTAATGTGAATTGCATGCAGAAGAAAAACATTGCAAGCCAAATCAGCAGAATGAAAAATCCATTGTGCATAGACTTTACATTCAATTAAGTGCGGGCATGTTTTTAATGCAAAGGGTATATACTGAGACCATATATTGTTTAAATTTTCTAATTTATTTTTAAAAATTACTCCGGTCATCACCAGTCCCGGTTGAGTTTATTTAATATTATGGATGAAAATTTCACTCATGCAAATCATAACTGAAAATTACAATTCATGTTGAAGTCCATGCCAGTTTTTCAATACACTTCAATAAGCTTTGAATTGGCCTCTATTCTATCACAGGCAGCTACAGAATATGCATCACATTATTCAGATTATTACTTATTTTGTTAAAAGGAAGGCAGTGATCTTTCAGTTTAACTATGTGGGTGGGAATTCTGAAGGCCAAATGCTCTTAGGATTGAGCCTTGGATAGTATAATGAAATGTATGAACAATTTTTTTTTAAATATAAAAATGGTCTTTTTTCAAAAATGAAAATTTAAAAATATATTTTTGGATTTTTTGTGATTTTTTTTAATGACAATATTTATTACCCCATTACCATTATTGAAATGGTGGCAGAAAAATGTTCACTTACCAAAAACATGGGTTTTCGTAAACAATTTCAATAATTTTTTTATTAAAATTTAATTTAAAAATATTGAACCTTTTTTGAAAAATGTAAAATGGGTCCATTTTTAACCCCACAAAGTGGAAACAACTTAGAAATTGCCCATGCTTTTACATTTGTTTTTGACCAGCTGTAATAAATATACATTAAAACATTTTGCCACTTATGAGTTAAATTTAGATTTATGTGTTTGTGTGTGTATCTACACACACACACACATCTATCATTTTCAACAGTTATTGGCTTGTGCTCTGACAGGAAATCCTTAGCTGTTGTGTGTTTGTGTTAACTTTGTTTTCCTTCTAGTGCTCAGTATGTGGGAAGAGTTTTTCACAGTCCTCCAGCCTGAACAAACACATGAGGGTGCACTCCGGAGAGCGGCCCTACAAATGTGTGTACTGTAACAAGGTAAAGGAAAATCCAATCCTCTTCAGAGCTGGCTTTCTCCCGTAGATTACCCGTAGATTTTCAATACTGCACAGTGTGACTGGGTGCTTTTCTTTGTAGTTCTTTTTTAATTATTTTTTCTACTTCAAGTACTATGAGCCTCTTTTTATAGGTTTTTCAAACCACCCAAAGAAAAGAATCCACAAATTGGCTAAAATTATTACTTTGTTTACTTAATGAGAACTGTTTTTAAAAAAGAAAGTGGAAGTGGTGTGGGAAGGATGGTTCTCTGGCTCGGGCTCTGGACTGGTACTCAGGTTTAGTTCCACCTTTAACTACAGATTTCCTGTTTGACCTTGGGCAAGACCATTCATCTACCTTGTGCCTCAGTTCTCCACCTGCAAAATGGAGTTAATATTAGGTCCTTACCTCACAGGAGGGAGGTATGAGGATTAAATCTATCAATGCTTGTGAGGGGCTGAGATACTATGGTAGATACCTAGATAGAAACGTATGGTTTGAACCACTTTATGGGTCCTTATTGGCTCCCCTTCAGCATCAAGTAGTAATTGAGCTTATTAGCACTACTTGATGAGTAATTGGTCTGCTCCACAGGCCTGATCCTGCTGCTCTTATTCATATGAATAATACCTACTTGAAGTCAGTGGGGCTATATGTGAGTAAAAATTACTCACATGATTAAGGTTTCAGAGTGGTAGCCGTGTTAATCTGTATCAGCAAAAACAATGAGGAGTCCTTGTGGCACCTTAGAAACTAACAAATTTGTTTGGGTATAAGCTTTCGTGGGCTAGAACCCACTTCATCAGATGCAGATGAAGTGAAAAAGTTTTGTATGAGGCATCTGTACACAGGCAGTTCTTTGAAAGAGCCAATTAGAAAACATATGCTGTGTAGCTTTGTTTAAAAACCTCAGCTTCTAATACTGCTCCTGCTCATAATCTAACCACTTCCTTCCATGGCTTGATATGACAAAGATGCAGCTAGAAGGAAGATTTGTTACTAATCAGAGCTTGGATAATACATTTTTGTGGAAAAACCCATGGAAGGAAGCTTTAGGGAGGAAATTTCTGTTCCTCTCCTATTGTTCCATCAGGATGTGTGTGGGGTTTGTGTCTCACAGAATAGGCAACTGAAATTTGGTGATCAGGGATCTCTGTATAGGCGCAGGAAGTAGGAGTGTGGGGGTTGCTGCAGCACCCACAGGTTTTATGTGGGGTCCTGGCTGCGCACGCTGGGTCCCAGCTGCTGGCCCTGTGTCTGGGGTTCCACTCCTGGCCCCGTGCCTGCTCTCTGCTGTGGCCCCAGCCTTGGCCCCTTTAGCCCTGCCCCCACTCCTGGAGGCCTGGCCCTGCTCCCGGCCTCAGCTTGGAGGGGCAGGGGGCATGGTCAGGAGTAAGTGGGCACGAGGTAAAAAGTTTGGGAATAGTTTTGCTGGCTTTCAACACCCCCACTATAAAGAGCATTTCAGCCCCTTTGGATCTATGTGAGGTCAGGCCCCTCCACGTGCAGTTTCTCTGCTCCTAACGGCCTCCCATCCCTTATCCTGTTCTGGCAGCAGCAACTCTGTGGACCTCCTGAGAAGCTGTGTGGAAGAGATACAGTCTGGCTTTATTGCTTTTCTGCTTAACCTGTATGGGACTGGGGAGAGGAGCCCTTACCCATTCTCCCCAACTCTTTTCCCCATCCTTGACCTCCTCACAACCTGTTTGGTTCCTACCCCTTCCTCTAGGACGCCCTGGACCCAGGGCACGTCTGCCAATGGCATCTGGGAAGGGGAGGATGGTACTGTGAAGGCAACTGATAGCTCCTTCCACATGGAATGGGGACAGCTGCATGTAAAGGATCTGCTCTGGGCTGAAATGTTACATGAACATTGTTAGGACTCAGGATGCTCAGGGACAGTCTGTCCTGTCCGTGGTTTGCAGAAGTCTCAGCTAAAATACTTGATATACTTTTAATGAGAAGTTACTTTTGTATACAAATTGTTGCAAACAGGTGTAGTGGTCTGATTGTCTCCCGCTGCAGCAACGAAACTCCTTGGGGTGGGTTTTGTCTGTGTTCTGCTCTCCCAGACATTGGCACCCCAACCTCTTGTGTGAAGTGAAATTTCATCCTTAACTTGCTGTTCATGAGTACAGGTGGCAGAGCTTCTACCAGAGTGAGGGAATAGATCTTTCTGTGTAGTGTGGGACTTCTTTCAACATTGAGCTCTGGCAGTCCCAGTGAGTCTCTTGTTGGCAGATCAGACTAGGGCTATGTCTACACTACCACTTTTATCGGTATATGAGAAAAAAACACACCCCGAGCGACATAAGTTACACTGACAGAAGCACTGGTGTGGCAGGAGATGCTCTCCCACTGACATAGCTATCACCGCTCATTGGGGGATGGGAGAGCTCTCTCCTGTTGGCATCTACACAGGAGATCTTACAGCTGCGCTGCTGCATTGGTACAGTTGTGCCGCTGGACAGTCTCTAGTGTAGACAGGGCTAGAGATCACTAGTTCTCAGACTGTAGGATGCAGTTCTCCCAGGGAGTTGCCAGTAGATTTCTGAGGTGGTGCAAGACTCTCTTCTTAATTCTCTACCATTCCAGAACATTAGTTGCTCCTCCTAAACACTCATAATTTCTCTTGCCTCCCCTAACTTACTGCTACTGCTCCAAAGTAACCTTGCTTTTTCTGGCTCAGCCAGTGCAGCTGCAGCCTTCAGATGAGGAAAGTGAGGCATGGAGAAATTCAGTAACTTGCTCAAGGTGACAGTGGAAGACTGTGGCAGAGACTGATGCAGAATTGAGGTTACCTGACACCCAGTCCTGTTCCTTAACAACAAGACCCTTTCTCTGTATAATATGTACCCCCAAGTTCCTTTGCACTCTGAGTATCAAATCAAATGAGCTAGAGGTGCAGCTCTGCTTGGAAAGCAATGGCTGTTGGTGGTTAGGTGAAGAAGGGATTTGTGGGTAATGCAGCTACACCGATTTATAGCACCTGAGGAGATAGCCAATGTTTTTCTTGTGGGTGGGTGAAAGGGTAGTTATTTGTTATGTTCAGTTGATCCTGCTGGTCTGCTAGAAGTGCTCCCCTGCTGTCAGTTGCTTGTCTACATGCCCTGTTTGGAGTCGTGAGGCACTATTTGCTGTATGTTAAGGAGGACAGCTAAGATCTCATTAGAGCAGAAAACAGCAGTGGTGCCTTTTCCCACCAACCTCCATGAAGAATAGTAGTAGGGCAGGAGAATGTGTAAATGTGCTGAAGGCATGTTCTGTGAGTAAGGGAGAGAGAGCAGGGTTGGGAGCTGTTTCCTTCAAGGAAAGGAGTAAGGAATGTTGGGTGGTAGAGAAGGAACAAAATTAATTAGGCTAGGAAAAAAAAGAGACAAATGAGTCCCCTTAGTTCTGGTCCACTGAATTCCAACCCCTTATATGTGAGTACCAAAAAGGCAGCATTAGCAGTGGTAACCCAATCATTTCTTTGCTTTTATGAATTTAAATGAGACCCTTTACAAAAATAAAAACTAGATTTCTTTTGTGCAGGTTAAGTTCTTGAAAACAAATACTGGAACAAGGGAACTGGGGTAAAAAACCCCAATATCTAATAAATACACAGCTAATTAAAGACATTATTGACCTGACCCAGCCTCCTTTGACACATGGAAAATATATGCTGGTGTCTTCCAGTCAGAAATGTTTTCATTATAACCAGTGAGCCGGATTTTCTTCCCTCGCTAGTGTAAGGAGTCCACTGACTTTTGGTGGCGTTAGCTCTGATCTATGCTCACTGGAGTAGAGGACATGGGAATCAGCCCCTGAGAGTCCTGCTTCTATGGCTTCATTTCTGAATGAGCAGAATAATCTAAGGGCTGTTCCAGCAATGGAGTTTCTGTTGCCCTTCTGATGGGGAACAGGTTGACCAATGCTTCGGTATCATGCTAACCTTCCTATGTGTGTCTTCAGTACTGGGTGGGGGTGGAGTCTTTAGGAGAGATTGTTTTCTAGACAATTGTATAACCGCTTTTAAACTCTTTTCTCCCTCCCTCCATGCCGGCCACCTCTTCAGGCATTCACAGCCTCCAGCATCCTGCGCACTCACATCCGCCAGCACTCGGGAGAGAAGCCCTTCAAGTGTCGACACTGTGGCAAAGCCTTTGCCTCCCATGCGGCCCACGACAGCCACATGCGGCGCACACACAGCAAGGACAAAGGCTGCACTTGCACCGTGTGCGGCAAGAACTTCCTGGAGCAGGAGGAATTCCGATTCCATATGAAGTTCCACGCCGCTCTTTAGCCAGCAGCCCTGCGTTTGGAGCTGCGTGTAGCTGTGTGGATGTGTTTGGTGTGTACGTTTCAGAAGATGAAATTCACCCTTGTGCCAGAGAAGAGCCCAGGGCCTAGGCATCATTTACATCGCCTCATGGATGGCTTGAGTGGTGCTTTGGCCTTGTGCTGGGACCTCCACAGGGGTGCATGTCCCCTCAGATAAATGTCTTTTATGTGAGTGTGACCATGAACGTTTTTGTGCTTCCAGTGTGATGTCTCCATGGACTGTCCAGAATGATGTACAGAAACTCCTTGGCTGTGTTGTTACCAGGTGCATTTTGTAAAACCAGTGTAGTCCATGTTTACTTTTGGGGCTCCGCTCCAGTTCTGAAGCTTATTTTCCCCTATTAACCGGTTATTATTTTATGAAGTGTATCTTTCCAGCCATTTTGATGCACATAAGGCGCAAGTCTATTTAAGTGAATGAGATGTGAGCTGGCTCTGACGTGTATTGCCTGTTCAAGTAGGGCACATGTGTTTCTGGGCATTTAGTCCCTTTATTCAGTGGCATATTGGCTGAGAAAAACACTGGGGACATCCTGTTGGGGCTAGACCATTTCATGTAGGAGCAGAGTGGAGCCCACATACCCCGGGGAAGCAGCAGGAGGCAGTCTGCTTCAGGAAGGTAGCTCCCAAGCATGTAAAGAGTGCGTACTTGCTAAATAGTTGTGGGTTACAGCACAATGGCCACCCAGCTCTGCTGGCCAGTGCAGGTTGGGGATGGAGCTATGGTTTTACCTCCTTTCCATCTCTTTAGGAGAGCAGGGTGGAAGCAGGCCCTGAGCTTCCCAGATGCAATTCTGCTGGCTCTTGCATGAGTCAGTCACATAACTGGGAGAAGGCTGCATACAGCTTCTGCTCTGTGCACCCACGTAAGGCATGTCTATCAGCAACTAGACACCCCTGGCTGGCCTGTGCCAGCCAACTCCTGCTCATGGAGCTCAGGGTGCAGGGCTGTTTCATTGCTGGGTAGAGGTTTGGTCTTGGGTTGGAGCCCGAGCTCTGGGACCCTCTCATCTTGCAGGGTCCTAGAGCCTAGGCTCCAGCCCAAGCCTTGAAGTCTAACCAGCAATGAAACAGCCCTGTAGCCTGACCCCTGCAAGCCCGAGTCATCTGGCACAGGCCAGCTGCCAATTTTTCTTTGCTGTGTAGATATACCCATAAGGGCCAGGCAGTTCTTTTATGTCAGTACTTTCCCTTGCCTGTATGGCAGAGAAATGTTCTATTACCTCAGACCATGTCAAGGCAGGTAGCATCTATGAAATCCTTTACCTCTTGTGCTGTTCTGTATAGGGATCACTTGGATCCTGACACTGAAATCTGTATCCTTTTATACTTTTTCATTTTGTGTGCTTACTGCATTATTATTATGGCGTTGCTATTAGGTGCTTGGGTTGTTTGTTGTTTTTAGTGTAATTCAGGTATAACAGAGTTTCTGAAAACCCTGTTCTGCTACATTAGCAGAGTCCCCTATCTCAGTTACGGCAAAGGGCATATTGGTTTAAATATAAGGTCTGAAGTACAAGCTGGGCCCAGGAGTTCTTGATGTTGTTAGTTTTGAGATATATGCACTGAGGGTCAAATCCCACAAACTCTCTGATTGCAAAATTCCCACTGGAGTCAATGGGAGTTCCACATCCTGAGTGAGGACCTGAAGACTTGATCCTCCATTTCCTATTGATGTTGCAAATTGAGGTTTCTTCAATCCATCATTGATTTTTCTTGAGCAAAATTGAAGCCTTTGTTTATATAACTCTAAATCACCTCCAGGGGAGCTGTTGGGTGCTGTTACAAAGCCCACTTATTTAGGCAGCTAAGTATGGATTTAGGATATTTACTTCAGGTTCCTATTTTTGAAAATCTTGGCCTTGTGTGTGTGTGTTTCTTTTAGTCCTTTTCATCCCTCTTGAAACTAAAGGAGGGCCGAAACTAAAACCCGAGATCTGCTCCCTTACTACTTCTTAGGTGTGTTACAAATCTGAACCTGGATCCTGATCTGAGTTTTACCAATGGCCTGTTTTATAACCGACTGAACCAATCACCCTTGATCAAAAAGATCCCAAACTTTGGAGAGTCCAAAATCCAGATTATGCAGCCACATAAAGTGAAATCCAAAGTCCTAACAGAATTCTTTTTCTCTCTCAAACACACAGGGTGAAATCCAGTCTGGCGTAGAGGCTCAGCAAAAGGCGTATGCACTAGTTATGTCCTGCTGAAGCGGGGGCGGGGTGCAGCAGCCTTGGGCAGGTCTACAGTAACCCCCCAATTCGAACTAAGGTACGCAACTTCAGTTATGTGAATAACGTAGCTGAAGTTCGAAGTACCTTAGTTCGAACTTACCGCGGGTCCAGACGCGGCAGGCAGGCTCCCCTGTCGACTTCGCGTACTCCTCTCGCTGAGGTGGAGTACCGCAGTCGACGGTGAGCACTTCCGGGTTCGACTTATCTCGTCCAGACAAGACGCAATAAGTCGAACCCAGAAGTTCGATTTGCTTGCCGCCAAACTACCGGGTAAGTGTAGACCTACCCTTAGTGATAGCCTTTTGCACCAGTATGAATTTCACCCACAGGTTACCTGTGACTGGGAAGCTGCAATTCTTTCTTTTACTTTTTAACGAAAAATAAAGAGAATTGAAACCTTTGTTTAAAAACCTCTTCCCAGCCCAGTAAGGATTTACATGGACTTTGCACACAAATAATGGAGAAATATGGATCACATTTTGAACCGACAAACCTTGACAGTGTCCCTTTAAATATGTCACATAGCTAGAAAAATGTTGCTTGCATGTTTCATTACACTAGCCAAATAATATGTATATATTGATTTGCACTAATATTTCTATTTATTGTTGTACACTCATGGTTTTCATGGATAAAAGTCTTGCAAGGAATATTTATAAAATGATTTAATTGTAAATGAAATATTTAGGTTCAGCATTAGTGAATATGTAGGCAATCTAGTCAATACATATTGTATATATGTGTAGGGGAAAGTGGATGAAGGTTTTGTTTGTTTTGGAATATTTTGCACATATTTTGGTACCAAAGATTCTTATAGCATAGAAAGGACACATTAAGAGCCTAAGCTTCTAAGTGCTGAATTGATGAAATTCCCTCCCATGCAGACAGCCGGCACAGAGCTCATAGATTACTCAAGTCATGCTGAAGTATAGTTAGGGGGTTTATATGGGACTTCACTTGCTGGCCCTCTGCACAGAGGTGATTTTCACCCTTGTAGAGAACTCCCATTCACAAAAATGGGAGTTTTGTGTGTTAAGAGCTTTTTGGTTCAGGCCCTTAATTAACTCAGGATTCTATGAAATCATCAGCTACCTCAACAATGAACCAAATGTGTCTGACTTACTAAGAATTAGCTAGAAGTGCTGTGAAATGCATACAGATGGTTTCCCGGGTAGGTAACGCTCACCATCGCACATATGTGAGGATTATTTATGGAACTGTGGTGCCTCATTGTTTGTAGTCCTTTAGTTGTATATACTTTCCTCTGGTAGAAAGTTACACTTTGTACGAAAACACAAGCCGTGGTTTTGAAACTCTGCTATAGTGCAGTTTTATCAAACTGTGAGGGGGAATGTGAGGGGTTTCACATGTGCTTCTGATTGTAGGTATCCTGTTTGTTATATTGCATTTCATGTGTTTTTATGTTAATTATTAAGAATGCTACTGTGAGATTAATGCAGAAAGCACTCAAACTAAATAAATGCTATGAGGTTCTGGCTTTCAGGAGAAGGCTGCTGAGTTTTTCCATTCGATTGGTAATACACACATTTACATTCTAAATCCTTATGCGGAAATATAAAATGAAGCAATTGATATCTTGGCAAACTCAGCTAAATGCATCTTGAGTGTAAATCACACATCCCTACATATAGCTGGAGCAACTGGGAATTAAGGGCTGGCTAGATGGCAGTTGACTTCAATGGGAGGTGAGCTGCCCAGCACTTTACAGGAATGGGCCTAAATGGATATGCATGAGTTTTGGCCACTGAATCATAGATCCAGCTCCCTCCCCCTTGTGAATACTGTGATGATCCCAGGCTTATGCTAATAAAAGCCTTTTGCCACGCCGAAATATATGTGTGGAGAATCCCAATTCTACCTGCAATTCCCATCACACAGCACCTGAAATGCAACTGTCTCTGGGATGGAGGGTGGCAACTGACCAGCGCACTAGAGTGGAGAAAAGGAAATAAAACCGCGTGGCTCTGCAGAAGACAGCAAGCGTGAAAGCAGCTTGAATTGCTCCCTGAGTCCGAGGGTGGGACAGCGCTGTCAATTCTTAGTTTCTGCCAGGGGAAATGCAAGGATTGTCAAAGTAAGCATATGCACGTGTGTTGAGGTTCCTGCAGCATAAAGTAGGAGAAAGATGAGGCTTATATTAGGGAATGCTCCTTTTACCTTCAGTAGTCTATGCATGTCCTGTTTGTGGACAATGTGCTAATGTTTCCTTCTAGAGGATTTAAATTGTAGAAGAATGTTTGCCCCTTCTGTTGAAATGCTGCCAGGGGCCTGGCAAATGAATAGCCCCAGACCGCTTAGCTGCGAATGGGATTTCATGTCCATGTATTGGGGCCAGAGGGCAGTGTGTTTGGGGAGGGGTGTGCTGCACTTTTTCATCTGGCATGTTCCCCGAAGGATTGCTTGCTGTAAATGTAGCAAGGCACTGCCATTAAAGCAGTGGTGCTGTTTGTCCAATTTAAGGGAGAATATTCATGACAAAGCTAACCGTAAAGTCTCAGGATCCTTTCTCCTGGGATTATCCCAGCTGTTAGATCCCTTTGCACCAAATGATTAAATTCCCCTGTTAGCCTTATCTGAGGTAATACGTAAAACACAGCACTTCTATCCAGCTGCCTTAACAGAAACTAGGAGGAATCTTTGGTTACCGTATGTTACATATCCATACAGATCCTAGAGGATGTTTGCAGGGAGTTCTCTGGGATCAGGATTTCACCCAAATACTGTAGCATCCTTTTAGCTCAGGCGAAATGACCATGGGACTTGCCTTATCACACACAGCTTGTGGTGTTCTGCCAATTTTTGCCATGTCTGGGAAGAGATGTGCCTGAAAATGGGAGGGGTAAGTCAAGTCATCATGATAA